AACGCCAGTAGTGTTTCCCAAATTCGATAGATAAAAAAGAAAAATGGATACGAAGCAGAATAACTCCGGAAATGAAGAACAAGCCAGGTTAGTTCAAGGGTCACATGCGTGCAATCGCGTTATTTATTAATAACGAACGATTAAAAATTGCATCTTGTAAATGTGCAACCACGTTACGTTAAAATATCACGAGAATGAGAACGATCGACATTGAGCGATCCAGTACAACGACAGAGAGATACAATTGCACGTAGATGTGCAGCAAATTTTCGTATTTTTCAAGAGAACTATTAGGCTGTGGACCTATGGTTCCTTGGGGGAAACTGACCTTCGCGGTGAGTCTCTTCTTTGTGCAATGTAGACGAAAAAAGTTTTGACCTTGAAACTCAATCAAAGGTCAAGGTCAATTTTGCAGCAGGTCCTTCACACGTTCCTTCATGAAATCGAAAGTGTATATAGGATTCAGCTGTGGACGAACTTTTCTCTCCACCCTGTACGTACGCACGCGCATTAAAAGTGTCAAATATCGATATCCGTGCGAATGCGCACTGACAGTATCTCCCGGTTGGCACTGTGCGCGCGCACTAAAGTATCCCCTTGTGCCTTAGTACCAGTCCACACCCCCGATGAAAACGATGGGATTATCGATCGTGTTGCTATCCAACTTTTCGCTGACAGTTAACCGTAGAGACAGATTTTTGGGGAAGCAAAGCACGCGTTGTTACAGGATGAGACGATACTGAAGAATCCTGTCTGTGTGTTAATCCGTCTGTGATCTGTGATAAGAGAAACTTGCAATAAATCCACGACGATTTCCCTCCCTGTGAGTACATAAAATCACGGCAACGATGCTTGTATTTTTCACTTGTCCACTTCAGACTTTCCGAACGTTCTGCATGAATTTGTATTTTCAATATGAACTTTACCCTTTGTCTTACATTATCGTGCACCGACGTCTATTTTCTGAAATTGTCGATGAAATTTGAGAAGCGTAAGTATGGTTGCAAAGAAACGTCGAAACATTCATGTGACTGAAGTATAAAATGAACGCACAGGTACACTTCCCTACACGAATTGTTTGTTTTACTCAAACTGTTTTCGGCATTACGATGATCATGTTCGATAATCTCGATGGCCAATCCGACAATGAGTCAAATAGAACGATTGTTTCAAATTTTATAGCTTGCACGAATGATCTTAAAAAAATTACTGGACCTGATTCAACAAGGTCCAATTAACCATGTTATCGCACACGTTTGTTTCCCTTTGTTGTACAAATGATTTTAGAAAAAGATGACTCTCTTGAATCCATCGTTCGTGTTTTACTTTCACGCTGGAGCAACAAATTCAATCACTTGTTTCACGAGCTTCATCGAATGTGGTAAACTAACTGTCGTTAGTTATTAATACGAAAGCAATTTATGATCAAAGAAACAAAATGACTGCTTTTATACGATAGAAATTAGCTTCGATAGCAACTGTTCTTGCAATTTTGTAAAGAAACTGTCGTTCTAAAGAAAAGAAATTGTATTGAATATTCATTTGGAAAATTATAATCATCGATCGAAAATTTGGCGTTGTGTGTGAAGGTTTTATCTCGCTTATGTGTTAACGTGTATTATACGGTACAGATTTCTCTTCAGTTCTTCCTTTCTCGTTTGCCAACGCGTGTGTGTAAGCTTGCATACTCTTCAATGTGGCAAGTCACTCTGCCATCTACGTTAAATCGTGTATAGCATTAGTAATTAAAACTGTCAGGACATTCTTGCGAGTTTCTTACTGTTTGTTTGTGTGTAATATGTCATTTTCATCTTTCCTTCTTATAAACATCTTACCGTTTTCTATTATGTATTTTTACATGTAGCTTGACCTCTCAACTTGAACGACCCTTTCTTTCTTTTTTAACGCAAACTTCATCTGAATGTGTAAAGAGCTCGTCTCGCGATGCAAAATCCGAATATCGATATACAAGAGGGGAGAAGGCTTCGTAGCGTGCGGAGAAGACTGTTTGAAGATGATGGCGACGAGGAGACGCCACGAAGTTCTGCAGTCGAAGATAATGCGAATTACATTCTCGAGGAAGCTAGGAAAAATCGAGAAAATGTGCGTAATGTATCACACTGTAATTCAATCATTCGTCTTTATATCGAGTGATTAATTAAAATTGTGCTTAGATTGTATTTTTCTGTCTGGGAACAGGCTAAACAAAGGTGGAACTTTGACTTTGAAAATGAAGAACCACTACCCGGTCGTTACGAATGGGTGAGATTAGACGAACATGGAAATGAAGTCTGTAATCCGCTGGAGAGAGATGAAGTAGAAAATTTGCAGGAAGACAATGACGATACGATGGAAGATCATGCAGGTGACTACAAGACAAGTTGCTCACGTTGATTTCCTTTTTTTTTTTTTTTTTTGCTGAAACAAGAAATTTCTTTTCTAGATGGAACCGGAAAATAAACGTTATGAAACTGACTGAATTGCAGCCAGTAAAATTGAGATAGAAATTCATTGGCATATACAAATAATGGATACAAAGTATATTGACTCGACTTCTAGTCAGAGTAGACACGCTCTAGTGTCTACAGAGCTAGTAAACCAAAGTTGATCTTTTTATTTAAAATAATTGAAAATCCTTCATTCGTAATGATATTTGTTGTTGTATAATTTATCCGCGATTATTTAACATTGTTATATACGTAATTAGCGAACAAATGATATTAGAATGTGAATTTTATACTTTGTATAGATATTCGAAATAATATATTCTATTTGTACAGAGGTTTATAATCCCGTGTGTGATTTTCCGTATTTTCTTCCTCTATGTCCTACGCTTTAATAAAACAAAGCAACTGCAACATAAGATTCATACAGACGGATTAGAAGCACATGGTGCATGACTTATGTGTGACCTGAATTCTACGACACGAGACATAAGATGACACATCTGCTGTATACATCTAACGAAGGAACATAAACTATTCGTAGAATGACGTTTCAAAAGTGCAACAATTGTGTACACGAGGACGAGGAAATTGTTTCGCTCGATTCCACGAGTATCACGATTTCTGAAAATTAATCTCAAGTTCTCGTGAGAAGGCAGCGTGTGCACCTGGCATCATGGTTTCTTAAGAATCGTTCTGTTTTTTTTCTTTTTTTTTTTTTCTTACTTTGCTCGTGCTATGGAAGCTGGCCACGATGATGGTGGTGTACCCATTGCCAGAAATTGCACTTCCGTTCCGCGAATTCCCACGGAAGTGGGTACAATCGCGACTACGACAAAAGATATTCGCGTATAACCTGCGCACCACCTTCATTGTTCTCTGCAACTATTCAATACTTCTATACCGAACAATTATTCACCTAAGTATTAACGGCTAATGAAGGATCGATGTACTTCGCAATTAAATGACGATTAATTGAAATTCTAAATGATCAGTCATTTCATTTAAAAAAAAAAAAAAAAAAAAAACTATTGTTCTCAACCTCGATCTCGATACACCACCTTGATCTCGATAAGCATGTGATTTATCATGGCTACATTTGCATTCTGTGGCGGTGTACAAACGGCGAGATAACGTATACCGGCGATAAACTTGGATTTGATAGCGAAATTCTTTCACCGGCGGAACAGGTGACTCTTTTAATGGCAAACACGCGATGCAGCCACAGCCACGCGCCTTCCGGTCGTCTATTCAAGATGTACAAACACACGACTTCCTCGAAAAATAATCTGAAGTAGGCCTCATATAGGCTCATCGTTCGAGACATAGACAAAAAATATTATAAGAATGTTATATATATATATATATATAT